TTTAATAATTTTATGGGTTCAGCTTCGTCAAGAGAGCCCCAATCTGATAAATTTAGTTATACAACACTGAGGTAGAAATACGCAATTTAATGTTTTGCAAAGCTTTCCCGTAGTCCTTAGCACAAAAACAACAAAAGCCCGTCAGCATATGCAAATCTCATGATAATAAAATCACGAACTTTTTAACATATCACGACAGCATTCTAACGCTATTTCATCGGTCTTAATTACACACGTGACTCAACTTAATGTAAACACGAACCTTGGATAGCACGTGCTTACCTTAATACATGTCACGACATGATCCAAGCTTTACAGTTTACTGAACTCAATGTCCACATGAAGTACCAACCATGTTTATCCAACGAAAGAATATTATTCTAAAAGGGAAAGAGAACAAAAATAAACAAAAATCTAACAACCGAAATTTGCAGTTTAATATACGTCACGGGAATATCATTTTGTGGCGGCGAGAGCTGGAAAGGGGGGGGGTTAAAATATTGAAGGTCATTCAAAGTCATTTTCACGTAACACTTATTTGATTGATGTTGCTAGCTCCAAGCGTGGTTAAGTAATAAAAGTATTTACAATTAATTAACATATGTTTATAATATTATTTCGAGTATTGATAAGAAACTAAAAGGAGTAAGACTATCTGATAAAGATCTGTGAAATTAAATCAATTATATTTGCGTGGGTAAATGCTGATGGACGTCATGTTGCGTCGAGTACAATGAATTAAGAACACAACTATAGGAATTAACAATGAGAAGAAACTTTCAACACTTTCGATACATAAATAACATGCAAATATGTTCATATTTACAGAGATGCAATTATACAAATGCCAAAGTTTTATTTCTTGATAGTATTTGACGATGACTATTCGCTGAGTTGTTAGAAAAATGAACAGTTCCTGATTGGGTATTTCACAGAATCTTCTCTAATCTCGTGAAAATGTGCTTCAAATACAGAATTAAAATCTTGGCTGTAGTATGCGATAATAGTCAAAGTAACAACTACATTAGCAAACAAATGTCGCTTCCAGTATTTCTTCCATACGCGGCCAATAGGAATGTTGTAATAATGCATTTGCACAAAGTTAGACAGACAGTTAAAGATGAATTCTATCCCAAGGCCAATCGCAATTCTTTTAACAAACTCCAATAACAAAGGTCTTACATTGATTTCGAAATTTTCAAGTTGGTAAAAGATCAGATAGGCTTGGCTTAAAACAATAGTATTATATTCAAAAAGTATATCTTGAATTTCAAGGTCAGCTCTTAACCGTCTTGTAGGTGCAGTGTTCCATGGTAAAACTTGTAGTCGTTGAAAACAGCCTAAACCCTGCAATTTTAGAATCATTTTTTTCCAAACGTTGTAGCGGATTTGCTGAGTGGCTTTTTTCACAAAATTCAAAACCGCTGAAAACATTGAAAGACCAATAAAAAGCGAAATACTTTTGAAGTTGGACTGCATTGTTCTAAAGATAAATATGGCAGCTCCTCGTATAACATATACCAAAATGAAACTACGACCTGGATGAACGAAACGACCATTTCCCCGAATATGACACAAACATAAAGCGCAGATGTGAACTTTTCTTTAAACTCTTTCCACCCAAATAACATCATCATTGACAATGGAAACCATAAATATAACACAAACGACTCCACGCAATCACCAAAGACGTGAATACGTTTCACAGATAATGATAATGTCTTGTTTTTGTAATTCCGCCATGCCAAACAACTGTAGGTGGTATTCGTGTCAATATACACCAATGTCAAAGCAGAAAGAGTTGGCAAGATGGTAGCAAACGTGAGATTGATACTTTTCGATAAACTTTTCCACAAAGATGATTTAAAGTTTCTGGAATGTTGCATGTTACTGCAGTATGTTTCAAGTTGACTTCCATCAGCCATGAAGATTTCACTTTCGTCGTTCAAATCAGATTTCTCATATTCTTTGCTTATATATCTACTTCTGGAATCATTTTCCATTCGTCTAAAATGTATATTTCCACCAGTACTCGCGTTCTCTTGCTCATGTTGGGCAGGTAAAGACACTCTCGGTGTTTCGTTTACGAAAAGTGAAAAAATCGATAAACTAAACCCAATTATTTCCTCTAGCATGGCGATAACGATCGACGTGAATAAGAAGAATTATGAAATCAGAAAACTTTATTATTTAAAGCGACTCGAATTAATACAGGATGCAGCAACGCTTTACTTTGTGCTTTAATGTCCCTCTAGTACTGCACTTTTGTGCAAATGTTCTCACGCGAATCGTCTTTGAAATGTTAATGAAGGACCATTTTGATGTAAATTTTTCTGAAAGACTTTCTTTGTTGATTTAGCGTCTTTCGACACTCCGTTATCAATTTAATTTTGCATGAGCAATTTAGAACGGAAAGTATTGAATAAATAGGGATACTTATTCAACCTTCAAAGTTGAATAATACAAATAAACAGCGTAGCAGCGAAGCCCAGAATAAAACCGCTGACAACAAACTGTATTACCTATTCGCATCGTAAACATCAAACTGAACTAAAATCAAATAATAAACAGACATCAACTCGACGAATATTACACATACAAAGACGGTGGATGAAAATTTTGCTTTAAAACTTTTCCAACCGAATAGTATTATGAATGTGAATGGAAACCATAAATATGTCATAATTGTCTGTACACAATCACCAAAGACGTGACTACGTATCACAGATAATGGTAATGTCTTGCTGTTTTGATGTAGGTGGTATTCCTTACCTCATAAGCAATCGTTGTAAAAAATACAATAGGAATGATTGAGGCCAAAATGATATTTAAGCTCGTCCACAAACATTTACACAATGTCTTCAAAACGTTTCCATTACTTTTACAGTCCTCAAAACTTGCTACATGTTGATTTGAGCGACTGGCGAAATTTTGGCTAAATACTTCACTACGATGATCGTCGTCCGTATTCTTTGCCGATAAAAGTGTTTGGTGTATTATTCTCAATTTCTCTAAATTCGAAATTTGTACTTTCGATTAAATTTTCTGTCTTTGAACTCACTCTCGGTGTATCTCCAGCAAAAAGTGAACAAATCGACAAGGCAAACCCGATTTATTTTCTCCTCAAGCATTTTAAATCTGTTCAAGCGACGATGAATTAAAAGAAAGTGTGATAAATGAATTGGTTTTCCGCACGGCTTCTCGCAAGCTTTGTATGACAACAATCAATTTGGATGTATAAACGGTGAAGTAAACACTGCCTGCATGGTTGATAAATGATAAATTAACCTATTATAAAATAACCTTTTGAAAACACGGGTGCTGGTTGGTCAATGCTCGAAAAACCGTGTTGATATAACTCTATAATGCACAAGACTTCAGTCTCGCAAGTATCTTGCAGGTTACGTGGTTCTTATAACCAGAAAAACCCAATGGTAAAACCTATCATGGTGATTTGTGCTACACTACTGTATGTATATCGTTGTTAAAATAACATAATGGAATTTTTAAAATCTTGCAAAAACTACTTTAAATTTGAAGAAAAGATGGCGGCGAGGTTACCTTTCAAGATCCATTCACTTATCAAATAGTAAAATTGCAGTATAATCCTTAACTAAAATAACGAACAATTTCTTCTTAAGAACTTTGCAGAGCTCGCTCAAGACACTTCAAAATGCGATCGAAACACAGATTCGAAACTTCGGTTGAAATTAGCAATAATCACCAACATGGCCATTACATTGGCTAAAAAATGTCGTTTCCAGTATTTTTTCCACACGCTGCCAATGGGAATGTTGTAATAATATATTTGCACGAAGTTGTACAAATTGTTAAAGATGAACTCTATTAAAACGCCAATCACAGTTCTTTTCAGAAACTCATACAACAATGGTTCAGTGGCGATGTTAAAGCTTTGTAGCTGATAAGAGATGAAGTAGGTTTGACTTAAAACAAGAGTATTGTATTCAATAAGCATGTCTTGAATTTCAAGGTCAGCTCTTAACCGTCTTACATGAGCTGTGTTACATGGTAAGACTTGTTGTCCTTGAAAACAACGTAAACTTTTCAAAGCTGAAATTATTCGTTTCCATAATTTGAAATGAATTTTTTGGGTGGCCCTTCTTAAAAAATTTAAATCTGATAACAAATTTGAAAGGCCAATAAAAAGCCAATGTTTTTGAAGTTTGTCTGCATTGTTCGGTAAACAAATATAACGCCACCTAGGATAATGTACACCAGGATAAAACTGCGACCGGGATAAACGACCTCTGAACTTCTTCCACTGCCATATGCCTGAGCAATGACCTAGAACCCAATCTACTACATATCTGACTCCACCAATATTGTATGAATACGAGTGAGGCAAGCCGCCATCTTGAAAGTTGGCAAAACTGATGATATTTACGACTAATATCTGTTTTTGCTGAGTTGATACAGAATTGCAAAGTTGATAGTCTAGGTTTAATTATTAAAATGTTTGATAGTATAGGTTTTTTAAACTTTGTTTTAACTCACTTTTCATCGTGCGTTTTGCTTTTTGCCACCTTTCAAGATTGCGTCCTCGCCTCACCTTGACGCGATAGTTACACATCTAGAAGATTGGGTTCTAAATCATTGGGCCAAAATGTCGCTCATTATTGCAGTTACGGTGATCTGCTTTCATAAGGATGTCATAACTTATGTTATCCCTGTTTTAAATGTCACCTACTCGTTTGGAAATGACGTTATCCTTTCATGTCTTATAATTTATTCATTACAAATAGAAGTAGATTTAGTTTTCATTAAAGTGGGCATGGAGCCTAATGAGAAGGATGGAAAAACATTCTAAAAATTACGTTTGGGAAGAGTTTTTTGTGGTTTAGCCTGGAATTTAAGAAAAGACGAAAGACAACTAGAACAACAAACATATCAAAAGCGATATCAAAAACAAACAAAATATCAACCAACAACGCAGACAGTCCTCATTCATGCTGTCACTAATAAAGAATAAAGAGACGCAATTTGTGCAGCCTGTAACAAACTGCAGAGCATAGAGCAATACAAAAATTAACAATAGCTCCAGAAATGGAAACGGCAAAAACCATTATGAAATACAAAGACTAGCAAACATTTCATCATAAGAACGCAACAGTAGCATGAATCACGTTTACCTCAAATCCAATTAGTACAAGTCGACAAAAACTAAAACAACGAACAGTTCCTAATCACGTACTTTACAGAACTCTCTCCAGTTTCTTCAAAACGTGAGCGAAACACGGATTCTAAACCTCGACCAAAATAAGCGATAACTACCAACACGATAATTAAATTTGCCAACAAATGTCGTTTCCAGTACTTCTTCCACACGCGACCAATGGGAATGTTGTAATAACACATTTGCACAAAGTTGGTTAGACAGTTAAAGATGAAATCTATTAAAATCCCAATCGCAATTCTTTTCAGGAACTCGTAGAGTAATGGTTCTGTGGAGATGTCAAAACTTTGAAGCTGATATGAAACAATGTACGCCTGACTCAAAACAAGAGTGTTGTATTCAAAAAGTATATCTTGAATTTCTAGGTCAGCTCTTAATCGTCTGGAATGGGGTGTACCTCTAGGTAAAATTTGTAGTCTTTGACAACATTGTAATTTGTTCAAAGCTGAAACAATTCGTTTCCACATTTTGAAACGAATTTGTTTTGTTGCCTTTTTCAAAAAGTTCAAAACCGATGAAAACAATGAAAGACCAATAAAAATCCAAATATTTTTAAAGTCTGTCTGCATTGTTCTATAAACGAATATAACGCCACCTCGGATCATAGAAACCATGATAAAACTACGCCCTGGATGAACAACTTCGGAACTTCTTCTCAACGCCATATGCCTACACAGTGCAGTAGGAATAAACGCTACCAGAGGTGAGGAGGTTGCAATCAGGAATTTATATAAATTTTGACGAACTCTATTAAACCCAGGGATAATTAGAGACATGTTGAGATATGCCAGTAAAGCACAAAAGATAAATTCCACAAGAACAAGCGCTGCAATGTGACAATTGGAATAAGGGATGAAAGGTTTACCAATACGGATGTTGCTAAGAATCACGAACGTGCAGCATAATGACGAAACACAAAATAAGACACTTGTAGGATATCTGTAGAAACTATGTGAATAGTAAACATTGAACTGAAATGAAATCAAGTGATACATGACGGCCAACTCTCCGAATATGACACCAACATAAGCCGTTGATAAAAACTTTGCTTTGAATTCCCTCCATCCAAATAATATCATCATTGTGAATGGAAACCATAAATATAACACGATCGCCTCCACGCAGACACCAAAGACTTCAGCACGTTTTACAGATAACGGTAATGTCTTGTTGTTATGATTCTGCCATTCCAGACAGCTGTAGGCGGTATTCATTGCCACGTAAACAAGCGTTATACAAAATGCAACAGGAATGATGGAGGCCACAATGATATTTAAATTTGTCCACAAACATTTCCATAATGTCTTCCAAACTTTTCCACTTTCTTTCAAATTATCATCATAGCATGTTGTATTCTGGCTTGAAAAATTGACGACAAGATCTTCTCTTGATAATTCATCATTATAATTATCGTCGTCAAACTCTTTGTTTATAAAATTTTCTTGTGCATCATTCTCAAGTTCTCTGTGTTCGAAATTTGTATAATCGGGTAAAGTTTCGTTGCGAGAACTCACTTTGGGTATGTCCGCGGCAAAAAGTGAACAAATCGACAAGGTAAGTCCGATTACCTCCTCCAGCATTTTTATTTATTTTAACCAGTGAACAATGAAAACCACGAATAATAAATATTCCCTGCCTTTGTACTCATGAATGATCATCGTGTTAATAAAGACAATTATATATTATTGCAAATAGAAAGGGTTATCGGCATGGCTCAAATTTGTTATGTTTCAAACTTCATGGTAAGCGGCAAAGCTCTCACAAATCTCCTTCAAATAAAAGGAGATGAGTAGGACTTGAGCCCCTCTTCAGGCTCTTCTACTTCCAAAGTTGACATTTTGGCGCTGGCGTTTTTCCAAATAATTTGACTACTCATACAGTAAAAACCCACATGATATATACGATTTAATTTCTTTACCTTCGTGGATTCTTTCTTCGGGTAAATTCAGTTCTGTAGCACTTCTTGATATCATGGAAAATGAAACCTAATATATAAAACACAATATATTAAACTAACGAAAAATTCAGATGAACAGTAAGTAAAAATTTATTCATGCATTTTAAACATGCTACTCTAAAATTATCAACGCCAGCTATTGCAGAATATCGGAACAATACAAAATGCATAATCTGGGTTAAAAGTTTGACATATAATAAACAAACAATAGTCTGACAGATACTAAGACAAATGATACATCATTGTGTAACATTTGAATGAATGAAAGAATCAAATAAAATATTTCTAGATTCGTTCACTTTTATGCATTTAAAGACAACGATTCCAGTCTTGCTCATCGATTGTAAATATCATTGCGTAACATTAGATTAAATACAAATGTAATTTAATAAGTCATGACTCAACAATTATTCCATAGCAAGCAATTTACAACACTGTCACACGGAACTAATTCTTTATTCATGTAATAATTTTAGATAACACGAGGTTTTTCTCTCAAAGACGTAAAAAGATGAGTTTTACTTTCAAATAACTTGAAAACAAATAGTTTCTATAACATATTAACAAAGAATACGACACGACATGGATATAAATGACAATAATGGTCAAATTTTAACTACAGCGACCACCGATAAAGATTACAACAACATTTCCAAAATGATGAAACATTTGCGAATCTCTTCTGAAAACTACATGGATGAAGATCAAAGCCAGTCCACCATTGTTTGTAAGATATGTACAATATTACCAAAACATGACGTATTAATTGATGGATACATGTGGTATAATCTTTGACTAAAGAAAGAACAGTTCCTAATCGTATACTTTACAGAACTTTCTCCAGACTTTTTAAAATGCGATCGAAATAGCATAAAATAAGCAATAATTGTAAACACAAGGACTATGTTGATCAATAAATGTTGTTTCCCATACTTTTTCCAAACGCGGCCAATGGGAATGTTGTAGTAATACATTTTGCACAAAGTTGCACATACAGTTAAAGATGAAATCTATTAAAACACCAATCACAATTCGTTTCAGGGACTTATACAACAATGTTTCAAAGGCGACGTCAAAACTTTTAATCTGATATGAAATTAAGTAAGCCTGAGCTTGAAACGAAAGGTTGTTTAGTTTGAATGTTGTGAAGTATCACAAAAGTGCAGCATAATAACGAGACACAGAATAAGACCTGATGTGGGTATTGGTAGAAGTTATAATTAGGACGAAAAAGATTGAATTGAAATGAAGTCAAGTGACAAACGACGACCAACTGGCAAAATATGACACCAATATAAAGCGTTGACGAGAACTTTGATTTAAACTCTTTCCATCCAAATAATATCATTATTGTCAATGGAAACCTTATAAAAATCACTATCGTCTGCACGCATTCACCAAAGACATGAGCACGTTTTACAGATAACGGTAATGTGTTGTTGTGATTCTGCCATTCCAGACAGCTGTAGGTGGTGTTCATTGATACGTAAAAAATCGCTATGCAAAATCCAATTGGAATTATAATACTCAAAATTACATTTAAATTCATCCACAAACATTTCCAAAACGAGTTCCAAAGTTCTCTTCTGTTTCGACTATTATCATAGCTTGTTAGATAAGGCCTTGAGCTATCGTAGAAATAATGTTCGCTTGATATTTCATAATTGTCGTCGTCGTATTCTTTGTTGATATAAGTTACACGAGCATCTCTGAATTCGAAATTCGTATTTTCGGGTGAAGTCTCGATGTTAGATCTCACTCTTGGTACATCTGCAGCAAAAAGTGAACAAATAGATAAGAATCAATGCCCAACATAAAGTTCTGATTAGAGCCATAGAAATAGACCAAAAAAAAACAAATTGTGAAATTTAAATTTATTGTGACAATTTGTTTTTTTCTTGTCTATTTCTATGGCTCTAATCAGAACTTTATGTTGGGCATTGATTTTTATCACACGTATTCGATTTCCGCTCGGCAAGTCTCTCGCTACAATTTTAAATAGATAAGGAAATACCGACTATCTCCTCCAGCATTTTTGCTATGTTCAACCAATCACTACATGGAAATTATGAGGAATGAATCGACTGAGCGTAGATCAGCAATACGATGAAGTACAGTTTCTTTGCAGATTTAAAAAACCCTAACGATTCAACACCAACACACACATGGTTGTTCCAATATATCAAAGACATTATTAATAATACACAGGGATTATGAAAAGGAAAAAAGCATTACATGAAGATATAGTGAAATTCGTGAGAAAGTGCAAATCAACGTAGGCAGTTCAGTAAATAATTCATCTAACTGACAAATTAATGAATTGTAATTAGAGAATATTAAACTTCCCACTCAATCCTAATTCACCTCTGCCATTAGTTGCTCAATGCACAGTTTAATAAAAAGGGACAAATGCATCGACAACACTTCCTCTGCAGCTCGGCAAATGATGATAAATACAATAAATATAGCATCTTTCTTAAAGTATTTGAATTACCAGTTGAGTAATAAGGAACGGATGGGAGGTTTGTTGTTGAAGGGAAAGGCGCAAATATGCTTGGAAAAGTGGGTGGGCTAGATATCTCAGGGTGTAATAATAGTTTTTTTACATGTTTGTAAATGTAGATCGTCCAGGGTATAGAGAAGGACTAGATTATTGTTGACTGACGTTTTGACAACCTTAGCGGTAGTCATATTCAGAGTGAATGCATCGACCCATCCATGCATCTTCATTTGACTCTGAAGATGACTACCGTTAAGGTTGTCGAAACGTCAGTCAACTAACAAAATAGTCCTTCAGGACTATGCCAACCTGGACGATCTACATTTACAAACATGTAACGATACTCCAGGTTAAAACTATTTACTTTAATAGTTTTTTATATGAAATCATTGATTTTGAAAAGTAAGATGGACATGACCCTCACATGTTCCAGCCTTTCATAATGTAGCAAACAAGGGTTCAATTATTCAATGACTATGTAAGGAAATTTCTAGATCACTCAGTTGATTAGAAGCACTGTAAAGCTTACCATCCATGGAAAAACCTTGTTGGCCTGTTGATTTGGAAGACTGGACTGAGAATTATCGAGGTGTTTATTGACGTGCATGTGTTATAAAAGTGAGTGATCTTATAGTGAATAGTCAATATTTGTAATGCAAAACTTTGCACATAATTCAAGGGTGGAGAGTTTCCTGAATATACAAGAACCACAAAAGAAAACACTGCAACATGACTCTCTACGAATAAAATCTTATTATCAGGCTTATTACGTTTGCACAGGATAACGAACATTGAAGATTTCGTTAAGAAATGATTTTGACAGGACACAAAGAAAAGACGAAAGATGGCTACAACAAAACGGATATAGTAAAGCTGCTATTAAATGGATATAAAAAGAACTATCAACTAACAACGCTAGAAGTTCAAACGTAGCAAGCCCAACAAGTCAGCCCAGTCCTCATTCATGCTGTTACTCATATAGATATATAAATACATACAAATATGTATATAACCTTTACATAACACTACAGCAGTGACTAAAATAACAATTAGCAATAGCATCACGAAATGTGAACATTAACACAGACGATGAAACGTTCTTGTATAAAAACTGTGCGACGGCAAAGGCAAAATCTACTAGCAAATATTTCACTACAACAGCTGCATAAATGAAATGCACGTTGATGTCAGATTCAAGTCATTCTAGTCGACAAAAAAGAGGTGTATAATATTACCAAAACATGACACATTAAATGACGCATGTATATGATGAAGTATAATCTAATTTAAAACAACGAACAGTACCTAATCACGTACTTTACAGAACTCTCTCCAGTTTCTTTAAAATGTGAGCGAAACACGGATTTAAAACCTCGGCTAAAATAAGAGATGACTACCAACACGATAACTATGTTGGCCAACAAATGTCGTTTCCAGTACTTTTTCCACACGCGGCTAATAGGAATGTTGTAATAATACATTTGCACAAAGTTGGACAAACAATTGAAGATTAAATCTATTAAAATCCCAATCGCACTTCTTTTGAGGAACTCTAAGAACAATGGTTTAATGGCGATGTTAAAACTTTGAAGCTGATATGAAATGAAGTAAGCTTGGCTCAAAACAAGGGTGTTGTATTCAAAAAGTATATCTTGAATTTCTAGATCAGCTCTAAACCGTCTTGCATGAGCAGTGTTCCATGGTAAAACTTCTAGTCTTTGAAAACATTGTAACTTGTTCAAAGCTGAAACAATTCGTTTCCACATTTTGAAACGTATTTGTTGAGTTGCCTTTTTCAAAAAATTTATAACCGCTGAAAACAATGATAGGCCAATGAAAAGCCAAATACTTTTGAAGTTAGTCTGCATCGTTCTATAAAGGAATATAACGCCACCTCGGATCATAGAGACCATGATAAAACTACGACCGGGATGAACGACCTCGGAACTCCTTCTCAACGCCATATGCCCGCACAAAACACTAGGAATGAGCGCTATTAGTGGGGAAGAGGTTGCGATCAAAAATTTATATAAATTTTGACGAGCTCTATTAATTAGAGACACGTTGAGATATGCCAAAAAAGCACTAAAGATAAATTCCACAAGAACGAGCGACGCAACGTGACAATTGGAATAAGGGATGAAAGGCTTACCAATACGGATGTTGTCAAGTATCACAAAGGTCGAGCAAAATATTGAGACACAGAATATTGCACTTGGAGGTATTCGGTAGTAGCTATGTGCATCGTAAACATTGAACTGCAATGAAATCAAGTGATAAATCACGACCAACTCTCCGAATATGACACCAACATAAGCCGTTGATAAAAACTTTGTTTCGCATTCTTTCCATCCAAATAATATAATTATTGCAAATGGAAACCATAAATATAACACAAACGACTCCACACAATCACCAAAGACGTGAACACATTTTACAGATAATGGTAATGTCTTGTTTTTGTAATTCCGCCATTCCAGACAACTGTAGGTGGTATTCGTGTCAACATACACCAATGTCAAAGCAAAAAGAGTTGGCCAGATGGTAGCAAACGTGAGATTGATACTTGTCGATAAACTTCTCCACAAAGATAATTTAAAGTTTCTGGAATGTTGCATGTTTCTGCAGTTTGTTTCAAGTTGATTTCCATCAGCCATGAAGACTTCACTCTCGTCGTTCAAATCAGACTGGTCATATTCTTTGTTTATATATCTACTTCTGGAATCATTTTTTCATTGGCCTACAATGTATATTTCCATCAGTAATCGCGTCCTCCTGCTCATGTTGGGCAGATGAAGACACTCTCGGCGTTTCGGTTACGAAAAGTGAAAAAATCGATAAACTAAACCCAATTATTTCCTCTAGCATAGCGATAACGATCGAACGTGAATGAGAAAAATTCATAAAATCAGAAAACTTTACTGTTTAAATATAAACGTCTTTGAAATATGAACTCTTTTACTAAAAGGAAATCGTTTTAAGATGTAAATTTTTTCGACACACAACGAAAGCAAGGTAAATGAATTGCCCAGAACGTGCCTGAGTCAACATTGGGGCTCAAATCTGCGCAATGGGAACGTTGAACCAATGTAGAAAAATAAATAGGGATATTGTATTGAAAACAAACTCTATGGATAGTCCAATGGCGAGTCTTTTAATACTTGGAAACTTGTCATCGTGTATAAAATCAAGTATGCTTGACTGATGATTAAGGATTTGTTCTCAAAAAGAATATTTTGTATTTCAATATCGGCTTTCAGTCGTCTTGAGTTCTGTTATGATACTCAAGTCTTATCACCCACATACGAATTTTTTTATTAATATTGTTATTCTCGTAAAACGCTAGGAATGTCTGCAGTAAACGCTGAAAACCGTGACGAAAGAAATGCAATAATTACCTCAAACAGTTTTCAAAGGTGAAATATAATTGTGTGAAAGTACTTCGTATTAACTTCACAAACTTGCCTTCCGAGAATCCTTTACATGCAACGCAATTATACACGTCCGGAGCACTGTGAGAAAGCGAGTGATCAATAATAATGACGTAGAATTGAGTGTATTGTATAATCCGTATTTATTTGATCTAAATCTCATACAATTACCAATTTAGATCACATAATAAAAAAAACAATAAACTTTAACATTAACAAACTTACGTCTATGGCACCTTTATTCTACGACCTTGATTTCACCTTGAGACTGACCTGTAACTTTAGTTAAGCACTTGACGCATTTACATTACTTATTGACACAACTATTCCCCGAAACAACGTCTCTATAAAACCAAATCTACTTCCCCCGTCATGGTTCTCTTCTATATGTAATTGAGTGGTCGTATATCTCTTTCACTTCGCACACTGTGATTTAGTTCTGTGAACTAAATATGGATAATCAAGTGGTTTCGCTTTCGTAAAATAACCGAAGGGTCGAAGAAAGTAATTGCTTCTTTTGTTAACAAGATGCAAGTTGATTTTTATCAATTTGTGGTTACTTTTCATCTTCAGCTATCGTATTCAGAGTATTAACGCAGTATTTCCACGACAAGTTTTGAGCATTTGTTACTAATATATTGCGGAAAAGATGCAGTGCAAACTTACGTCAACTGACTTCCCTTAATGTCAAGCATACTTTATTCTATACACGATAAAGCGTTTCCAAATATCTCAGTGGAATATTCAGAAACAACTGACCAAATGACTCACAATTGAACTATCCATAGAGCTTGTTTTCAATACAATATCCGTATTCATTTTCTTCAACGTTCCCATTGCGCAGGTTTGGGCAAAATGTTGGAAGAGAGAGTTTGGCTAATTCATTTATCCCTGTTATCATTGTGTGTAACTTTTAGTCATAGTGGAGCTTTTCTTTGGAACAGCTCTCCAGAATTTTTAAGGGATTCTTCCAGGCAGCAAAAGGCAAGCTCAATTTAAAACAGCGATTTAAATACAAACGTCATTTGAATAAAAATGAGTTCATGAAATTTAAAATTGGAGCATATTGGTAAAATGCAAGCCTGAAGGATGTTGACACGCTGCCTAAATTTGGCCAAATTCTTCTGGGTAGAAAAACTCAAGCGAGTTTCGACTGACAAAGCAGGGGGTGTTACCACGAAGTGCTTCAGTCAAAAAGTGTCTGGCGTTGCTTGCCCAAGATGCTTGTCCACAGAAAATATCCAGGGTGAATAACGAGTGTGTTTATTTAGACCACCCAAAGAAGCATGGCATGCAACTGGTTCTAAAGTTCTAAGCAACACTGAGCACGCATAAAACAATGTTGCTTGCCAAGATGCTTTTCACAGAAAATATCCAGGGTGAATAACGAGTATGTTTATTTAGACCACCCAAACAAACATGGCATGAAACTGGTTCTAAAGTTCTAAGCAACACTGAGCACGCATAAAACAATGTTGCTTGCCAAGATGCTTTTCACAGAAAATATCCAGGGTGAATAACGAGTATGTTTATTTAGACCACCCAAACAAACATGGCATGAAGAAACTGGATCTAAAGTTCTAAGCAACACTGAGCACGCATAAAATAACGAAGCAAAGTACAAGATGTATGTGGGGATTCTGTAGTAATGTTTTGGACCATCTTTAACATTGAATTGAAAACAAATCAGTTGATATATAACAAGTAATTCTCCAGATATAAGATATATATAAACAATGGAGAAAAACTTTGTCGTAAACTCCTTCAAACCAAGTAGTATCATCAGAGTAAGTGGAACCCATATATAAATTTCAAATGATTCTACGCAATCTCTCAAAACGCGGACGCGCTTTACAGATGATGGTAGCGTGTTGTTGTTGTTGCCGCGTTTCTGCCATTCCCAACAACTGTAGGTTGTATTCATGTTGACGTAGAGAAATACCATGGCAACAGATGTCTGTACGATGCTCGCCAAAGTGATATTTAATGTTGTCATTATACTATTCCGAAATGAATCACAGAATTTTCTGCGAGTCATTTGCATGATATCGACGACGGTTGCATTATGAGATCTTAAACTGGACAATAGAACACTTGTTTCACTATAGTTGTCTTCAACACCGAGGTACTATATTCTTTGTTCATGTACCAATTTTGAGCATTATCAGACTCAAAGTCCACATCAGTGGTTTTTAGATTTTCGGTTTCTTCATCAAAAGACACTTGAGGTGTTTTGAAGAGTGAAAACACAAATAAAACAAATGTAACTATCTCTTCTAGCATTGAAATGACGATCGAATAAAGCCTTTTTCACATATTCCGCATATAAAAAAGGACGATTAATAAACAGCATGTAGATACATAAACCAGGTAGAGTCCAGTGCTGTAGAAGTGGGGGCGGAGCGCTTGATGGAGGAGCCCCCCTTCTACCTTTGAAATGGGTAATTTGTCATAATGTTATGGGTTCAGCTTCGTCAAGAGAGCCCCCAATCTGATAAATTTAGTTATACAGCACTGAGGTAGACATACGCAATTTAATGTTTTGCGAAGCTTTCCCGTAGTTCTTAGCATGAAAACAACAAAAGCCCGTCAGCATATGCAAATCTCATGATAATAAAATCACGAACTTCTTAACATATCACGACAGCATTCTAACGCTATTTCATTGGTCTTCATAACACACGTGACTCAACTTAATGTAAACATGAACCTTGGATAGCACGTGCTTACCTTGTCACGACATGTCACGACAAAGATTTCAATCTTTACAATTTACTGAACACTTTCATACAACTATGTCCACATGAAGTACCAAACATGTTTATCCAGCGAAAGAATATTACTCTAAAAAGGAAAGAGAACAAAAAGAAACAAATATCTAACAATCGAAATTTGCAGTTTAATATACGTCACGGGAATATGATGTTGTGGCGGCGAGAGCTGGAAAAAAAAGGGGGGGTTAACATATTAAAGCTCATTCAAAGTCATTTTCACGTAACACTTATTTGATTGATGCTGCTAGCTCCAAGCGTGGTTAAGTATTAAAAATATTTACATTTATATA